TATCAACAACATACAAAGATGATTTAAATCATTGTCTCAAGATATGATTTTCATCAATGTTTCAGTCATGTCAACATTTATAACTGATCAATGCTTGTATTAAACCATTCATGTACTATAAACTAAAAAAATTAAAAAAAAAAATGTTTTTCACCAACTCTAGCTTGTAAAACTCTTAACAAAAAATAACACTTTGATGTTTTGAGATAAAGATTAAAAGCTGAGTGTATATGATTTTTGATTGCCTCATCTCAAAGTGGTTATTATATGAATTTCACAAGAAATCTAATGATCCAGAAATAATAACTGTTATGCTACAACTAACAAAAAAACCACTAAGGAAAGGATCTTTTAAGCAAAATGTTATATGCTACAATTTTTTCTTCTTCTATGAAAGGAAAGTGATCTGAAGAAGAAAGATCAATTATTCAGGATGAGGACAACAGAATATTTGGGCCATTCACTTTCCTCAAAACTTAATAGTAGCCATTACAAATTAACAGTTGGATATCTTAACATCATATTGAAATATGGGGGGGGTTACTTTAATGAAAAAGAATACATCTCAGCTAAATTAACCTTATTAAACATGTCCATAATGATCACATACAGTTAGTTAAATAGTGAAATAATAACTTACATCAATATCTTCTGCAGAGTTTTCCTCACTTAGATTTGGCACGTCAAGTTTGCCTTTATATTTTGTTGTGTCGTTTTTCAGTTTACCTAAGGTGGGGAAAAAATATTTAAGTAATTCTCTTTAATATGATGTGACACTTAAAAAGTTAATGTCCACTTTTAATATTCTTTTTACTAACACTGGCATGCACAAAAATGATCTTGTACTTACCTGACCAATCAGCTCTGATATCCCATTCATAAAAGAAAATTAGTTTGGCTTTTCTGTTGTTAGCAGTAGCTTCACCTTCAAGTCTAGTCACTTCTGTGATTTCACAGAAATCTACAACAGATTGAAAAATATTTATAAGCATACATTTTTAAATTAGGTTTCATAAGTTTATTCTGACTAGGATAATTCTTACAATGTCAAATGAAAAGCTTTTATTATTTGCTTGCAATGTTTTTAGATTAAAGTTTCAACAAAAAAAAAAAAAAAAAAAAAAAAAAAAAAAATCCCCCCCACCACATTTCTCCAAATGCAATCTTTGTTTTCTCAATTGGTATGAGAAAGAATTGTTTTATAATTTTATATAAGATTAAACTATACCAATCTAAGAAGTATTAGAGACAAAAAATACTATGACTATTATGACATCTACAGTATTTGTATGTCACCTTCCAGCAAAGTTTATTTGAATCCACGTAATTTTGTTTGAATTTCTGAGATAAACATTATACACGGATTCTTTTGAACAAGTTTCCTTATTTATAATGTTTTGGCAACTTTTGTTTGCCACATTTAGTAATGTTCCAGAAATGCTGAAGCTTTTATTTATAAGGGTGTATTGTTGTTGCTTTGTATGTTATATCTGGTTACCTTCCTTTGAAATTACAGAACTTGTAACTATAAATTTTTCCATAATGCCAATCTGGTTTTCCACTGAGCCAGTGACAGATATAGAAAGAAAACCATTTCTTAGTAGAGGAACCTGTATAGTTTAAATTTTTATAAATATAAACTATTTGCATTGACTTTAATGTCATGACATTGTTCAAAAACTATTTATACATTTTATTAACACAGAAGAAGCACATGCAAAATACTATAGAAACAAGGAATACTAACCGAACAAAACAAGAGCCCTTGTTTACAGCACGTTCTGGAACAATGACAAGTGATTTATAATACTTGGCAGATTTTACAAATGAAAACTTTTCAAATTATATTCAAATTCTTGATAAATATTTAAGATATTGGCCAAGATTATTTTGTATCAAATAAGAAAAACTATGCAATTAGGATACTTAACATTATTTAAAAAAAGAAATAAGATGTCGTCATGTTTTCTGCAAAATGTACAATTTAAAATAATTTCATATTTTATAATACAAAAATAAGTTTTATTTTTTTATAAACTATTATTTTAGCAAGAATGGTTATTTAATAAATTGTATGAAATGAATTTCAGAACCAAATTTAAAAAATGTATAGTGACAGCCACATAAATTAATAGTCCAAATAAAGAGTAAATGAAAACTTTATAAACAACCTGAACACTGATAAAAAAAAAAAATATACATAAATAAAAACTTCTGGTAGAAATAGATAAATAAAAATATAAAATAATATTTTTAATGTTTATATATACAAAATTAAAAAGATAAAAATAATCCATCTAATTAACTAAACAAATAGTGAAATCCTAAAAAATTTAAAATAAACTGTAAAACTACCTAAAGCTTTTTATTTTCTTGAATCTAATTTTCGTACACCATTGAAATTATTGGTACAAAATTAAAAGCTGTTTAGATCATTTTCCACTTTATTAGTAACTTTTACTTAGTATGATTTGCATTATAATTACAGGAGTACAATCTAGACCTATAATCCACAAGCCTTTTACACCTTGGATGCATTCATTTTAACATTAGAGGGAAGAAAGAATATATATGTAAGCAAACACTCAATTATACTAATAATAACCACCATTTCATCTTATACATCAGTCATGCTATTAAAAATAAAAAGCAGGGAGCAGAGATCTAGCAAACATTTAAAATTTTATTCATATGAATCCTAAGTAATAAGACTATACTTACAATCATCATTCTGAATTACTAAACCAGCTAAGAGTTCTGTAATTTTATTTTTGGACCAAGTTGTAGCATTTTTCTCCACCCTGTAAGGAAAGACAATGCATATTAGAAAAGAGCATATAATAATGTAGAGAAAAACTATTAAGAGTTCAAGCAATTTTACACCTTTGTTGTTAGAAAATGAGCTTCAAAACGTCCTTCATATTGTTTATTTATGGTTCCTATATATATATAAAAAAATTTTTTCGAGGATTTTACTTATACTACCATAACAAATGATTTATAAGTGCTATTGTAGACAGTCTAGTTTCAGAAAAGAAAAACACTTGTTTGTATACAAGAAAAAACTTCAAAGAAGTACTTTGGGAGTCTTGTTTAACATATTAAAGAGACATTGTAGCTCAAATGCACAACCGTGTGTGTGTATGTATATATATATATATATAATGTAAACATGCAATCAGAAGAGACACTTGATAATATTAGATTATAAAAGACTATTTTACAAGTTTATAAACAAACCAAATTTACATACTGAAGGACCTTTACATACTAACTTCTGAGCTTTTTAACATTACCAAAATTAATCCATTTTTAGATATATGAAAGTATAACAAATACAATCAATTTTCTATATCTCCATTTATACTCTTCAATTTCCTTAAGCTATAGACTTAATCAAAGTCTGGGCCAAACAGCCCATCTGTATCATCTGAAGTTTTTTTTTTAAACTTTACCAATTAAATATTGCTTGCAAAATATCTTACTCATTCTAATCAGACAACAAAGATCCATTAAGAAAACTTGGTACTAATTCAAGAAGAGCATATAATTTATGGAGACATTTTGTTAATGACTGAAATCAGACAGCAAATTCCAAATGCTCATTATCATTATTATTCATTAGTATTAGTATTGTATAATTTGATTGTTTTCATACTATTTAAAGAGAGAGATACATTATTTTCTAAGCAAAAATATTTACAGATAATTGGCCACAATCTTAAGCAAATTGAATTTCTAAAAGTTTTAAAATTGGGGAAAAAAAAAAAAAAAAAAAGTTAAATTGTTCCAATGAATGAATGGTTGGTTGGTTCTTTAACCAGTATATCAACCACTATGGGTCATTAATGCCAAAACCCAATGAATGAGTTAGAAAAGAAAATGTTCTAATAAACTTGAACTGTAAACAGTGAAAATTATCTTAAAATTTGAACATCTTCAAGCTCTCCTAAAATTCTAAATACATATTTAATCAGTACAAAAGTTTCCTGAGGGAAAAAAAAAAAAAATCAATGTATTCAAATTTAGTTTTTTAGTTTTCAAAAGAGGGTTCCGGAAACATCTTTTTATATGGAAATATTCCTTAACAGCAAACATGAATAATTACTAAATTAAAAATAGAATTCATTAACTGCTTTACTGAAATCTCCCACCAATTCTGAGAGAGAAAATATAAATTAGATAAGGGCTGGATTAGTTAAGACCATCTACTCTCAGATTAGTCCAGTGCAATTTTCTTTGTTTATGAAGATAATTTTCTTGTTATTCATGTTCCATTATTAATTCTTTCTAATATTTTTTTTTTTTTTATAATTAACCTTAAATTTTTATCTAGACTCGATTCAATGAAAAAATGCAATTGTCACAGAAAAAACACACACACACACGCGCACACACACACACACACACACACACACACACTTGTAGTTATATATTTTTTTATTACATATTAGCTGTAATTTGTTCAACTGACTCAAAACTAAGACAGTGGAGAAAGCATAAGAAAATCCTATAAATACAACTCAACTTTTTATAAAGAAATGTTGAGTTGCATACTTCAAAAATTACTCAATTGCTGGAATATAATAATCTTACTACAAAGTTAGGAAGAGAATAATATTAATCCAAGGTAAGATGAGGTGAGGGAGCTTACTTTTTTTTTTTTTTTTTTCTATTTTAAATTCAGGTTAATTTTTTTTTGTTTTTCAAATTTAAAAAAGGTTATTAATGCCATTAAGCTTGAGATTTGTTTTCACAATTTGACAGAATATAGCAAGTAAAAATAAAAATGAAAAATTTTTTAATAAAATCATTGTCAACTCCAACAGATGACTTACTTGAAATAGTGGAGTTGCACAATAGGCATTGTGACCAGAAGTAATAATTTTCTTTAATTTTTTTTTTCATATCACTATAGATTGCATACATTAAAAAAAAAAAAAAAAAGGTTTAAAATACATTAGCTTTCTTGTTAGTTTTAATTCAAAGCTAATAGATTAAATTTAATATTTCCAATAAGCAAAATACTTTGCAGTATTTTTAATTCAAATTTAAACTGACTGGAAGGATTTTTTTTAAATTGCTAAAAATCGATCATATTGATAAACCTGTCAACATAATTCTCTTTATTAAAAAAAACAAAAAAAAAACAACACAACTTAAAAATAAGATATACTCTCCTGGAACCTGATTTGAGGAAGATTAACTAATTTAAAGTTTAATTTGAATTAAAACAAATACATATTACTTACTTTGAGTTTAAAATATCATAGGAAATCATTTTTTTAACATGGAGTTGGGTGTTTATGAGGTATTGACACGTTTATTGATAACCTATGATTGCAAGATTTAGCTAAGAAGAGGAAAATAATTTCTTTTAGTGAAATTTTAAATATTCTAAAAATTCTACTATTTTTTATTTACTTGTTGAGGAAATGTTAGAAAATTACCAATAAATTTTAAATTTACAAACGTTACCACTCATATTTTCTGATGATGTCAGGGTGATTTTCTAAGCCCGGCTTAGATGTGGCATAAGGCCGAAAGTATGGGACACCCAGTGAGGATCGAACTCACTACTCAGTCATAATTGGTCTAGCAAGACAAGCTTTCTAACCATTTACACCACGCCGAGGTGCCCTATTTTCTGATGTCATGTATGATCATCCATATTTACAAAAATTGGTACGTTTCACATACAAAATATTAGGTGTCACTAAATTTTAATAAGCTTTTCCATTTACGGTTAGTAAATATATATTTTTTTTTTTTACTTAAAATAACAATACCACTTATCCAGGACAAAAGATAAAATTTTAAAGATTTATTTAAGTTAAATAATTTAACACTTTATAAATTATAATTTACACACACACACCAAGATTTTCTAAAAAAAAAAAAAAATAAATAAAATAAATTTCAAGAATAATTTCATTCATTTGTGAATAAAACCTGAAAGTTTCATTAAAATTCGACAATTTGATTTTTGCAAGAATTTCCAAATGTGTTTTTCAGCGCAAAAAGACGCTAAAATTTCCTCTGCTAATCACCCCACCACCACAATCACTACTAATGCAAACAAGATTTTTAACTAAAATTTCGAACGTTAAGGATAAAAAATATAATTTAAAAAAAAAAAAAAAAAAACTTTGGTCACGATAAAACTTTTAAATTTGTTTGGGCATTTTTTCGCCATGGTATGCTAATTTTTTAGCCAATCTGCGGAGGTACGAAAAATCGTAAACACTGACCGAGTCAGTTTTTCTTTCAAGTTTTAATAGTTTGGCTTGCATTAATAAATAAAATAAACAACACAAAATAAAAAAAAAACCCACACACAATCTAGTAGTGAAATCTAATCAGCAACAAAAGCAAAATAAAATCAAAATAAACCAATTTTTTTATCATATGGCATAGGATTTTTTTCACAGATTCACTTTTTGTCTTTCTATCTTTACCATACCAGTAACCACGTTTCGACTTTTGTCCCTTCTGGCCTTCCTAAAGTAAAGTGTCAATCACATTCAATAACCACCCTGGAATGTCGAACGAGGTAATTTATTTTTTTATTCAAGATCAAGAGTGTATGTTAATTGAGGGTTACGAATTCTGAAATTACGGACACTGACCGTGACAGCGATGGAAATGGAGATATAGCATCGTTGCGACTTTGGGATCAAATATCAAAAGAAGGGTTATTGATTGAATAATTCATGAAAGCCGGAAAATACTACTCAGCTGAAGTGGTATTTAAGTCTCGAAAATTTGACTAGCAGAGTTTGGAGTGAGCAGAGAAGAGTACTAAATGAAATAACAATAAAAAAGATTTAAAAAAAAACTTTTCAAAGGAGAAAAAAATCACTTGATTGAACGAATTGCAAGCGCGGCAAATAAGTCACTCGGATCCTAAGTGATTCTCTGTGCCAGACTTGTTAAAAAAAGCGTGTATCATTTAAAAATAAATAAACAGTTAATCGTTTTTAAACAACTTGACCAAAGGAAACATTTTAAATATGATTTAAAGGTTTGGTTTGTTTTGTTTTTACGGCTTATTTAATGACATCGACAAGATTTTTATTGCTGGTAATATTTTTTTTCAAAATATATTGCTGGTAAAACCTATTTTTACACTTTTTCAGTGTTTTGACTCCAGGTTGGGGTTTTTTACCCATAGTTGGGACACCCCCCCCCCAACAGGTGCTCCCACCCCGAGTCAGAGTGGACCTGGGAACACCAGCAATTAAAGAGGTTGTTCCACGCTCCTCAAAACCTCCTGATCAGAGGCCTTGCTGTTGGACGTAGTTTATCGTCTTACCCAGAACGGCAAGAGATCGACTGGTTAAATTAAATTTTAACCGTAGGTCTCTTAATTGATTACACTTGCAAAAATTTTCAAAAAGTTTAAATAAATTTTGTTTCAAAGACTTTTTTTTTTAATTTGTGATCTTTGTTGAATTAAGTTTTCTTTTTTAGGTGCGCTTGTTAATTGAATTGATAACAAAAGTTTCCTTCCATAGAAGGTAATAATCAGTAATTAATGGTTGGTTTTAAATTTGCAAAATTATTTCATTATTATTAGTTAAGACTAAGAAGAGTAAGATTAGTAAAGAACAATTTTTTTTAAGGGAGAATAAGAAAATACAGGATTCGCTACTAACCGAAATTCGTGAGAAAAAGATGTTTCTCTTAAAACGTCATTTTTCTTTTAAAATAAAGTAAATAGCTTAACTGATCTTTTAAAATAAAATAGAATAAAAATTTAAATTCTTATTTTGGTGAAGTCCTAAAAATAGAAGTACTTTTTTTGTAAAATGTTAGAGCAATATGAGAAAATATATTAAACCACAAACCAGTATTTACATGATAAAAAGAAAAAATAATTACAAACAATTTAAACATTTTGAATTAATAACCCTAAGTTGTTAACGTAGTTCATTAAACCAACTACAAACATTTTTCTAGATTATTCTTCTCTAAACAACACTTTTTTTAAAAAACACCAAAAATCAACGTGTTTGAAACGATAGAAGAAAAGGGAAAAAAATGAAATAATAAAATTAAAAGCAGCTAATAGTGCAGAGATTCACAAAATGAATTAAAGATTTTTCGGCTTTGCAGGTTAATTTTTTAGGTAAGTCTCAAAATAAAATCTATTGATTTTCTAGAATTTGTCGACATGCAACCTTTTCTGTACAGACTTAAAAGCTTAGGAAAAAATCTTCACTTTTTTTTTTTTTTTTTTCACGCAAATTATAAACACCCTTAATTTTTTAAAATGATTTATTTTAAATGAATACAAGAATTTCCATAACGGGAATCTCTCGAATCAAGTCAAACGAAAAAATAAAAGAAGTTTATTATTGAAGCGAAAAGAAAAGGAGTTTCATCCTTACAAAATAAAAATATGGGATAAAAACTCGACTTCTTCAGCTTTTGTGATTCTCAAAAAAAGACTAAGAAGATATCTTTCCTTATTTAATACTGCGAGCAAAACAATGCTTCGTCAGGTTCCGATAAGCATACTTAGAGCTTCTTTATTCCATACTACAAACAGGGAGGAAAAAAAAAAAAACTAATGCCGAAAAAATGTTTTTTTTTTTCCTTCATCAATATACGACACCGTACCATGCAACATGATTCGATACCTACCAGTGCCAATTATTCACATTCGTACCATCAGGTCGAACCTCAACAATCCAGCGAGGGTCCCTTTGGTCCCATTTAGCCATATTTGGCCCTTTAATTAACTGAAAGAAATAAGAGTATCAAAGAGGTGACTGAATTAACAGACACTGTAAGTGTCCTCCTAGCTAAAACAGTAACTACACGACGTTTACTCCAAATTAGTTCTCGAATCTACAACGGATACGGAAATGACGCTACACCGCGCCGGAAGTCATCTTCAATCATGACGTCACAGTTGGCATAACAACTGCAACAGCGTCTCCGAGAAAAAAAAAAAAAAGTTGAGAATTTTCCAGAAACGTTTCCAATACAAATAAACTGCTGGTTTCAAGATAAGTGTTTAAATAGCAGTTGCCAAGAAACTTCCTTAAAACACGACCTGATAATTTTCTCTATTTTTTACGGTAAACTTTCTCTAAAGAATATACGAGTGAAAAACAAGTTCAGTTCACTCACACGCTGTTTTAAGTTTAAAATAAAAATAAAATTAAGTTAAAAAAGAAAATAGGTTTTTTTTTTAAAAAAAAAACTAAACAGAAAACAAATATAAAGCAAAACTAAAAGTAAAAATTACTCTAAATAAAAAAAAAATTACTTTTAATAAGATGAAAATTATAACATCAAATTAGAATTCAGAAATAATTTGAAATCTTTGAGAAAGTGATTTTATGAATGCTTTTTTATTTTATGAGATGATTCTGGTAAGGTTGGTTTTGTAAAAAAAAAACTGATTTCAATTTATCTTTTTTTTTTTTTTTGTTAATCATTTCACTCCATGCAAGGCTGTAGGAAATTCAGTCATCCAGGTTTTTTTTTTTATTTTCATTAAAAATCCAAACACTCTAATTCCAAACAATAATAAAATAAAATAAAAAATAACATGGGTATGCCTGTTAAATAAATCATTTGTATTTACAAACATATGTACATGAATTCAAAAGAATTTAAAAAAGAATAAAAATAGTCTCTTTACTTTAGTTAAAGTCTTTGGGTAAATGGTCCACAGAAAAAAAAAAACCACTAGAAAATTAGGGACACTCTCCAGACAATAAATACTGGTTAATATATTTTTTGCTTAAGGTTCATTAACCTTATCTGCTTATTCGTCAACATGTAACCTCTCACAGAGAACTCACTTCCATTTGGGAAATGCATGAACTATACATACACACACACACACATATGTACACACATTTTCACATTCATTTGTTACACACATCATTGTCTTTGTTGCTTATATACCTTTGTTGTTAATGCATTATCATTTGTTTGTACATATATATTTGTTCTTGTAGTTTTTTTAAAGTTCTTTATGTGGATTCACATCCTGAGTCCACCATGTTTGTTGTGGATATTTCAGAAGACAGCATGTTATTCCCAATTTCAAACATTGACATTACTAATGCCCACAATAAGTTGTGAAATGCATATACTGGCCCACAACAATCTGTTGTTGAGAAAAGTCTTTGATTGTTAGCGAAAATTCACTGATCATCTTAGCTGCTGTTGTTGGATATGATTTGTTTGAAGTTGCTGGCACATGTTTATTTCAGCACACACTGAGGAAAAGGAAAAATCTATGTAGCCACGTCTTCTCTAGTGTTTGAATGGCTTGGAAACAATCGCATCTCTTCTCCGGAAAGTCAAAATCTGTGGGATTTTATAAGATTATTTTTTTCTCAAAAGAGGATCTAGAAAAATAGGATTTTAGTTTTCTCTGATTGGTCAAATATTTCACATATGTTAATTTCTAACCAATAGACACATTGATTTAAACAATGTGTTGTTTGGTGGAACCTTTTTGGTATGTTTTAAATATAGTCTATTATTGAGTAGAAATTAAGTTTGGCCGTGTTTTAATATGGCATGAACACGTGTATGTAATTGTGTTGGCAATAGGGTTTATTTGTAAGGCTACTGAGATGCAAGGGGTTATTGAGGATTAACAACTGAAGATGAAGAGGGAATGAAACAGAAAACATAGGATTCAAGGAGACAGAAAATGATGATTGAAAAAATATTCATCCTTTTTAATCACAGCAAGTAGTAATTGCGTTCACACCATCTGTTATAACTGATAAGTGATATAGCAGTGATATGCTACAATTGCTTCAAGTAATTTTTCGGAAATTTCCTTTTCTTTCAGAAAATAAAACCTGCTGCAATAGTATTTTCACTATTGCCCGATTTAATAACGAAAAAAAAGAAAAAATGCAAATCAGATTCAATTACAAAGAAAAAATATTTATTTCTAACCAGCTAAATAAGTGTTCTTTCAAAAATTCGTCCCTTTTTGCTGAGAATAAGATAACCTATTCTCTGAGTAACACAACGTAAAAAAAGCACAGCAGAAAACAAACTTAACAATTACAATGCACCAAAAACAAAAAAAAAAAGAATAGCGCCCACCTGCTGTGTCAATGATAACAATAAAAAAGGAGGAAGAGCCTTAGCTCTTCAGTTACACTTTCAGTCCTTTCAAGGTTCAAAAGTTTTTCTTTTCTTTCTTGTGTAGACAAGGTTCTCTTCTTGGTGACCAAACTCCCTTCTTTCTTCACTTATTTTCCTCCCGTCCGCCTAGTTATTGCCTTTCTTTTACGGCCGCTAGAATGTGGAAATTTACTTTAACACGTGCTAAAACACTTTTTGAAAATGCACGTGTTTGCTCCTTCGTCTTCTTCTCAAATGGCTTTGGCTCCAAACTCCACTTATGGACTTCTTTCCAAACTTTCTTTTCTGAGGCTTCTTCAAGAGGACTTCTCAAAACTTTCTCTGAAGGGGAAACTTGCCCTCAGCAACTTGTTACCCATGCATCCTTCACTTATGGGCAAACACTGTCTGCCTTTTCAGCAGGGAGAGAGAAAAACTCCTGTCTCTCAGCGGTCCCATTTTCAACTGCTCTGAGGTCCAGTTCCAGTTCTTCCTTCCCTTTCAAAGGGAGGGGGGGTTCACCTTTGAACCGTCCAATCACAGTCCATTAAAAAAAAATATCAGCAGGTTCTTAGGGCCAGTAACACAGTGAGTGTCTTTTGTTCTCCCTTGATTTTCAAAAATTAAAGATAACATGAATGTCTCCTGTCATGCAACCCTGAAATTCAAAGGCACATTGCAATAGCAAAAATGTAGTAAGTCAAGGTAGAAAATAAAATCCCAAATAAACAGCAGTGAAATTAACAAATATACATAGTAGCAAGAACAAGGCAATATATCAGAGGTTGGGGCAAAAAAATAAACAACCATGTGATTTTAACAAGAATATAAAATATATGAAAAATAATACAAATTTCTTTATTTGGTTAATGTTTTCAGAATTACAGAAATTAGTCAAAATAAGTGAAATTTATGTGGGTTAACCCACTTAGTTATATACGAAGGCTTTTGTGCTTTGTTTGAACTTCTCATATATTTATGTAGTCGAATGTTTCATATACAAGGTCTATGTTTCAAGAGAATCAGTAAAATCTGTCGAATCTTTTATATACCTAGGATGTGAAATAAATTCTACTGAAAAGGATACAAAAATCCATATAACTAACACCTGGGTCACCTTGAAAAGAATGGATGTAATCTGGAAATTTGATCCACCAGACAGCTTCAAACAGAAATACTTTTGTGACACCGCAGAGACGGTTTTTAATGTATGGTGCTTGGACTTTAACTAAAACTCTTGAGTCTAAACTTGATGAAACCTACACTCAGATGCTGATAACTCTACTTAGCATCTCTTGGAGACAACATCCAAATAAATCACCTTACATGAATGCAGAATGTGCTTTGCAGGACACTGATGGCAAGCAAAACAAGAACTGTTGGAGGATCTACTGCTCTGGACACCTAGTCATAGCACAATATGGGTTTGTCGCCCAGCAATCACCTACATCATCTAATTATATTATGCCACAGAATGCCACACTAATAATGTTCTGACCTTGATGCAAGATGATGATGGTTGGTATGATAGACTCACGAATGCCCGAGCTAGCTCCATTGCATAAAAAAAAAAAATAAATCACCCTTGTACTCATTAATTTAATGTCTTTGTTTTAATACATGCATTGTCATTTGTTTTAAAATCCACATTTTGTGTTTATTCAGACAGATTTACATGAAAATATTGTTTGCAGGACAAATCTACCAGCAAAACTGAAATTTACTGAAAAACGTCCACACCTCGTAATGAAAGTGGGTATTCCCACAACAGGATGAAAATTCTTCGAATCCTTGTAATTTTAAATCTTTATCGTTAAGTGGCCTTTGGGAGTTCAGTTGAAACATGATCTTCTCCAATATGTATGTGAAACCTTCTTTTTATATGTTACGTATTTAACTCAATATTGACTTGACACTGGCTAGCGGTGTCTGATAAACTCATGTTTTTATACATATGTATAGGATCAGCGAGTTAGCTTCTTTTTTTATAGATCTTCTCAAGAAACACTCTGATTAATAAATTGAAATGTTTTTCTTTCCATCAAACTGGAACCAATACATGGAGCTTAATGCTCATTTAAAATAATTTTTGCCAGTTTATTTTAAATGTTAAAGGATACACATCTGATATATTTTGGCTGTTGTTGACAATGATTTTGATAACTGACTCTTTCATTCTAGTCAGGCCTTTGTTCATAATTCATATCTATTATTGGAGGTGACAACATTAAATAACATGTATTATAGTTAGAATTACTGTTTAATGAAATAAGGCATAATTAAATCCACTATAAATCTTAGTTCATTTGAGATTTCAAATGTGGTTAAAATTTCAGACATTGGTCAGAATGAATAGAAGTTGGTAAAGTGGATGTACACACTTGCAGATGATGGATACCGACTGTATTTTGTAACATGCTGAGATCTTTGTCTTTTGTACCAAGAGACTGATTTACGTTGTATTGAAAGAGAGTCTCATTGTCACCATTGATGAATATTTGGGGTACTTTCAGTGGAATTGACAAATTTCTCAATAACAAAAATAATAAAAAAAGAAGAACAGGGGAAAATAATACAAGAAAGGGACAATAATTATAAAGACAACAGCAAAGTA